AAGTACGTCAGAACTATGTAGTTTGAAGAAAGTAAAAGAAATGAAAATTAAAAAAAAAAATATGAACTATTTTTTTTCTTTCTTTGGCTCATTCTTCTGAGTAAAAAACCATCACATAAGCTATAGTATTGGATACTAATTCTTTTTAATAAACACTAAAAGTGTGTCAATATTTCATAAGTGTGTGTAACAATGAAGTACATACACAACTGCTATATACGTCTTTCTTTTAAAGTCTAGAACATATGTCCAATATTTTGAATACTTCTGTATGTTTAATTTGATGATTGTACATTCTTCTTTTTTTCTCACTATTTTTTTAATCTATATGGACAGGAACTCGATTAAAATATAAACGATAAATTATGTGATTTTTTTTTTTTTTCTTTTTATGTATTTCATTGAGGCGCACATCACCTTCAACATTCTGTCAATCACTTGAATTGAATATATATTAAAAGAAGAAATAATAATATTCACTTACTTGAGATCTTGGAGGTTTTTTTGGAATACTGATTGGAGATGTATTCGATTGTTTTGTTGTGCTAGTGATATGGTGATCTGGTAACGTTGTGGATGAGAGAGATGTTGATGAAACAGATAATATTTGATGGTCATGTTTAGTACTACGTATTCGTTGAGTACTTGATGTAAGTTTTTCAACCTAGAAGAATTATTTCCAGCATTATTAGTTTGATCATTAAAAGAAGATAAATGATTAAAATTTCATATTGATTTTTCTAATTCTTTAGCTATTAAAATTAAACTATTGCTCAAACATTGATTTAAGCTTTATTCATTCATTCATCCAAAATATAAGCAGACATATTCGGTTAAATCGCATAACTCTGTTACTGGAGTAAATGAATGCGTTACTATTTTTGCTCTTCTTTTGTTTATGTTATAATATTGGAAAAAAAAATACTGTAGACAGCGTCAGAGAGACGTCATTGTTTCCGTAGCTGAAAATGTGCTCGTCAAAATCCATTCTGAGATTAGTTCGATTTATTCAATCTTTTTCACACACTATAATCAAAATGCAGTCAAGTCAAAATTCATATCCGTTATTCTCGGAGATGGTGATATTTTTCGATTGTATATAGAAAAGATAAATAAAGCAAAGATGATTGATTGATGCATTGTAAATATACAAACAAAATGAACAAAAACGGCAACGTATTCATATTTCAATAATAGAGTTACGCGATTTAGTCGTATTAATAAGAATGAAAAGAGTATGTATCAGAGAGTGGAAGAAATCTCTAATGTGTATTACCTGTTCCATAATAAAAAAAAATAAAATAACTTCCTGCACTTTAGTAGAGCAAAAAATTCTTTCAATTGGCAGTTTAGATAGAAATTGTTTGATTTCATTTTTTTAGTAAAAGCTATCCACGTGTTCTTTTTTACGATTGTACAGTTTCAAAATGGAATGATTCAAAGTCAATATTTTTCTTCTTTTTTTTTTTCGAGTACTATATTATTTTTCATCCTATGTAGATAGTCTTTTTTCTTTTTTTATGGTCAATATCTTGTCATTCCATTAAATTAGATTAACACTATTTTGCTCTTAAAAATATTCAGATCAACTCATAAATTAAAATATCTTAGAAAATAAGTATTAAATATTGAGAAGTATTTTCGAATATTTTCATCTTTTTTTCTTCTCGAGTATCCGACGGAATATATGTGCTAAATTTTATTTTAATATTATTATTTTATGGCAAAAAGAAAGAAAAATAGCGTACAATAATCGTACCTGTGTTTTAATCAATGGGCTTATAACTCTTGCCATTTGTTTTATTTCTGTTTATATTGTTATTCTTCTTTTTTTATTTTGTTTTTAATTATTAAAAATAAACTAATCTCTCAATTTTATAACCTCCAAGTGATTTTAACTTTACTTCTCTTCTAAAAGGCAAAATGAAACACTATTTTTTTTCTTTTTAAAAAAAGAAATACAGCACAGTACATGTGACCGTGACCAATTATAAATGAAAATAACGAAAACAAAGTAGGATGGTTTCGGTATATATATATTCTTTTTTTTTTTATAAAAAAACAAACGTCATTATCGTGTATATAGATGTCGTCGTCGCACTTATGTTTTTTTTCTTCAAATCAATGAGAAAATGAAGAAATGAATAAATAAATACCTTGATAATAAATAATCGCAAATGATTGGACAATTTAAAAACAAAATATTCGATTTCTACTTCTGATTATACCTGTACACTACAAACACATACTAGTGCGATTTTTTTGCAAAATAAAATATAACTTGAAAATAGACTTATCCATTAGACAGTGAATTATTGACATTAACATTTGCAATCTATCATTTCATTTTAATGTCTTACAATAGTATTAATCAAGCCAAGAAAGAGAGAGAGAGAGAGAGAGAGAGAGAGAAAGAGAACGCTTTTTACGTTAATTATGTTCCAATTATTATATTGAGAAAATCAATATTATGAGCAACATCAAACTTGTTCTATCATTCAATCTATTAATTTGAAAAATTTCGATAATTAAAATAAAAATATTCAAAAAAAATTTATTTATATTAATAATGAGATTCGGAACAGTAATAACTAATTATCATTATTCTAAGTGATAAGGATGAGCGAACACAAGAAAGCGAACGAAATAGAACTAAATAATTGAAGCAAAAACAAAAGTAGGCCTGTTACACAGGTATTATTGAGTATCACCAACAAATCAAAACATATAGAGGATAGGCACAATTTTTAGAATGGGGCGCGCATGCTTATTAACTACCTGTGACTGAGACATATAATCTGTAAAGAGAAGAAATAAAAAGTAATATAATATCTACTAGTTTTCCAATAAGTCTACCTGATATTGTGATTCATTTCTATCTGAACTTGAATCACGTGATCGTGTTTGTTGTACACCGATTAAACTATTTTGTGAATTTGTCTTGTTCAATGATGTAACATTGCTAGAATAATTATAGCAACTAATAGAAATGTATTTTTAATGAAATGTTTTTTTTTTACTTGTTATTCGTAGCAATTTGTTGTAGTTCATCAATGTCATGTTTTGTAGTGGGTGATGTTAATGTACGCAATGATACTTTCCCCGTTATTTTTTCTCGTAAAAATTTAATCATTACTCTTGTCTGAAATTCTTGATGGCGATCTAAAAATCAGAAAAGAAATGCATATAACAAGATCATACAAATAATAACAAGCAGCACACCTGTGATTTCAGGGATCTCAGATGTTGTGATTTTAAATTTTTATCTTCTCTTAAAACTGAACTAAAGGATGACTCATAAAGCGTACGTATATAACAGTAAGCGTTGAACAATGATACAGTGCCATGGCCAAAGGAGGGGGAATATAACAGGGGTGTACGCCCCTACTTCTTTTGGAAAAAATTTCTCTTTAACAATCCCTTTTCTCTCAAGAATTTTGTCTGAGTTCTTTGTCCAGATTTGGTAACCAATATAATCAAAATTTAACAAAAGCATCCTGTCTTCCATGTTGTCTCCCAAAATAGTTCAGAGCAAAATTTTTCTCTTCAATGAGAGAAAAGCTCAAATTGATATCAACATCATCATTATCATTTAGTTATTGTGTTGAAATTATGGTGATAGATAGATGATGTTGTTCTATGATTTTCTCTCAAATAATTTACATCCCTTCTGCTGTTTTCTCTCACCGCGCCATTGCAACGGTATTCTAATAATTATTCCAAGTCTTTTTTTTATACGTAAAACTTGTTCACTTTTTGTGTAAGCTAGTCACGTTTTGAAAAAAAACATAATTCTTCATCTGAGTAACATAAAGAGTTGAAGAACGTCTTATTTTATAGTTCCAATATTTTTGTTTTTTAAATAACAATCGAACAAAGTCTAGCAACTAGCCCTTCTAAAAGAGAAGATGTTTTTGAACAAAACACATGTTATAAAAAAATAAAATACTTTATCTCAACGAATTATAGGTGGCTATCTCTATCTTACTGCTAGATTTTGATTGATTGCTATTTTAAAGAAAAATATTTCAGCTAAAACATAACATGTTCTAAACTCTTAGATAACTGAATAGCTATAACTTTTACAAAAACATGACTGAATTTACGATCATACGCATACTGATCTCAAAAACTACGCACTTTTTTGAAAGTTTTTCTGATTATTTGATTTAATGTGAATGCGATGATAATTTAATTTGTTAAAAAAATACGTGAAATAAATGAATACATATGATAAGATATCGATTGTAAAAAGTATAATTAACAATTTTTTTAGAAGAAAAATACATTATGATTTTTATCTTTTAAATCTGATATCCCTGTTTGTGACCAATTTGACATTTAGCAAGAACAATAACTACTTGGCAAGCACAATTATCACAAATAAGCATGAAGTGTACATGTTTTTCTCACCATGCTCATCACCGGTCTCATTATCACCAGTCATTTAGAGAAACTAAATATTAAATTGTATACCGAGCGTTCGATTAAAATAATTCTTTCAATTTTAAAATAGTTCAAGAAATATTTACAATAGAACATACCTGTTAAGATATACAATTGACTAAGATATCTGAGTTCTATATAAACAGGAAAAGGTAACACCTAAAACGAAAAATTTTTACAAAATAAATAATAAATAAACAAAATTTCGTTGTGCAAGACAAACACCTTGTAATTCAGTCAGTTCATGTTAATATGAATTACTCGTGTGATAATATTAAATTTGATGTATTTTGTAGACGTATGTGTTAGTAGTATGTCGCATTCAATCATTTTTTATCTAAATCTGACCGCTTTCTAATCAAAATTATTATTAAAGAATGATACATACCTAAATAGTTAGTGATTGTACTTTGATTATTTTCATATTAAACTGGTTGATATGATGACTTTATCAAATAATGCAAAATCTGAAGAAGAAAAGAAAACGTAAATGCAACTTTAGAAAAAAAAACACAGTGAAAAAAAAAATTTTTTGCGCGTTATTAGAAATAGTTTGCATTTTAGCTTTCTCAGACTATAGTGAGCTAAATTAGTAATAATAAAAGCTTTCTGCATAAAACTAACTATTTAATACATTCATTCGACACATTTCTAACTCAAACAATGATAAGTAAACTCAATTTAAAACATCAAGATTTTTTTTGTTTACATTAAGGTATAATAGCAAATGATTTTTTTTACAAAAGTGACAAAAAAATACCTTTTCCTGTAGGGTTTCTCACTGTGTTCACAATACCTAGAAGATGAAAGTTTTATGGGTATATAAAAATATAAATACTAAATTATCTAAGTATTGTTAAGGTCAAATATTTTAACACATTCGGTTTAGTTCAGTTTCTTGAATTGAATTGAAAATCGGCTACTGGAAAATCTGCTAAAACAAATGTGTTTTACTATGGCATAAACAATACAGCACATCAATTAGACGAACTTGAAATCTTCAATCTCTCTCTGTGATCGTTTAATGAATAGAATACATGATCAATGATAAATCATACGAAAACATTTATGAGTAATGAAGAAAGTAGAAGTAGAGTTTGATAGGATTTATCTATGCAAATTTTTTGCACAATACTCATGTAGTAACAGTATTCGCTAAGCTCTAATTTTGATTTGCGAGTAAATTGATGACATATTGTGTGAATTATACTGATGTGTGAAACATAAATGATATGTAAAATAATACCAATGATAAAAAACGGATAGATGCTATTGAAATCTTACAATAGTATTACCCATATTATTTTGACTTAATCATGTTTTATTGCTTCATCTGTCGTAGTCAGTACACTATCTACATACGATTCGAAATACGGAGATATTTAGTGCTAGAAAAAAAGTTGGCATAAATTTTAAGACTATTAAATAAGTAATAATGTAAAATTAGTGTACAGTTCAAAAGAAAAGAAAATTAAATGAAGATGTCATATATAGTGCGATGCCGATTTTTCCAATAGCTATGTTCAGCATTTTTATGTAATTTATCTACATGAGCAGTTCTTCCCTTATTCATTGATTAATTTTTGAAAAAAAAAATGATCAATAGCATTGGATGACCATACTAGAGTCCTAACTCAATTCGATGATAATAAGTTTCAGTCACGTTGTTTATTTTCATCGATGAATCGCTTAACTTGATGTGTACAGTTTCAAAATGAAGACTATACTTTTACCTCTGTGGTCGCAACGATATACGAGAATTGCCACTGAATAAAATCCAAAATATATGTTTCTGTCAAGTCACAGCATACTGCTCATAAAGATGCCCGATTAGATCTTTTGATCGTCTGTACTATTCTATGACATCAAATGAGACTATTACATATAACACCATTCATTATCCGAGTAATATCTACATGAATTTATTCGAATTTCTCACAAATATTTTCAGCGCTCAAAATACGAGTAAAATTTTTACAGTGGCGGGAGAAAGCTCTGAGATTTTTTTAATCACAAAAATTAATGAAAAAAATAAATAAAATATTATTTTTTCCGTTCAATAAAATATAATTAAACATTATCGGTTTCTTAGAAATAAATTAGTTTAAGTGATCTCTAACGAATACATTTCTTCTTTCTCTCTCTCTCTCTCTCTCTCTCTAATTCTCTAGTTTATTATTAAAAACTAAATAAAATACTTTTTTCAAATGTTTAATCAACATTTTACTAAATTGTTTTTTATTTTATTAACTGTGAAAGGATGTTCAACAACAATTATCAATGCATTTATTAGTGGTAGTGATAGTGACAAGAATAATTCACTATCAATATACCATTCACAAGAAATTGAAGACCAAAATGACAAGTCAGATGGCCATACATTCTATCCAACGATTGTCTCATATATTGTCAATTTATCACAACATATATTACGAATTATTATTCAAACACTTCGTATTAAAAACGAAAATAAAACACCCAGTGATATTGATGTAGACAAGAGTGGAGATGTTGTTGCACAAAACGCATTATTAACGCCACTTGCAATACAACATTTGCTCGATCAAAAACACAACGATGAAAAAAAAGGTAATCGATTTTGTATGCTTCACACACACACACATACAAAATTATAATTATTTTGTTACGTTGCGCTTCGTTTAGATAAAATATTTGACAATAATTTGTTAAAACAATCAAATTTAAACAAACTACTAACGATTACTGATAAAGACATGCAAAAAGATTCGTCAGTTATTAATTCAGCGCCTGTAGAAGAGGATGATGATTGTTTATTTTTATTTTATTTTTTTGTTGTCTGTTATATCCTATGTATTCTTCTATTATTATACGTTTTACATCGAATAGTAATATGTTATCTTCGACAACAACAGCAACAACGTTTAGCAGTTCAACAACAACAACAAATCACAACAACGGCCGATGATACAAAACCGATAACCACAACTATTTTATTTAAAATAAAAAATTATGATAATCAACTTGATGGTAGTGAAAGTAGTGGTACTCTTGTTGAAGTATTGACACCATTATTATCACGAATATCACCGCCTCAATATGAACAAAGTGTAGCACAATCTACTCCACCACCTGCTTATGTTTAGTAAACAATCATACTTCATGAATAAAGAGAAAAAATTAAAAACATTTCTTCTCAGTTTTCTTGCTTTTTTTTGTGTATTAAAACGAAGTCAATCTCTTACTGTTACTGCTACTAGATCTCTTTATCTCTTCTTTTTCTTCGTCGTTCGATTGATCTGGGAACAACTCATATTTCTTTATTCTTCTATTATTACTGCTTCAATAGTAAATAATGCGAATCTCTGTTTCTCTACTACGGTTAAACAGTCAATTTATTTTTTCTATTTAACGTAACTATGTTTTGCATATTTTTTTGCTATCCGAATATTTATTCAAGTGAATTTTTTTTGTCGAAATCATCTCGGAGTTGTATATTGTTTTTTAGACGATCAAACTCTAACAGTCTGACCGTCTACAAGAAAACTCATGCTGAAGACTGTTCACATTGGAAAGACAAAGAAGAAATGTCAGATGTATGCTATGAGGCAAAAACAGACGAGACTAATAGACAGAGTGAAACGAAAAACAATAATGTCAAGATTCAAAAGTAAAAGATCAAAACAAATCAGGTTTTCTATAGAGAGTCGTATGATGATATGATGGTTTTCTGTGAGATCCTCGTAGCAGGATCTCAACACTACAGAATACTCGACGGATAATAGAATGTCTCTTTTTACTCTTTAGTTCAGAACTATTTTTCTACAAGCGCACACACATTTCATAAAAAGAAATTTTTTTTTGTTTGTTCAAAACAGTTTATTTAGCTAATAGCGTTCAACATTGAACAATATATACATAAAATGGACAAGGTAAAAAGAAGAAAAATGACTAGATGATCAATTTATTGTATTATTAAGTTGTTTGTTGTAACTGTTGAGGAGGAAGAGGAATTTGTGCTGGTACAATTCCTGATGGTAGTGTCATACCAGGTGGCATTGGTGGCCTCATCTGCATTTGCAATGGCATTGTGGGTGGTGGTCCTAACGTTCTCATACCGAGCGGTAATTGAAACCATGGTGGCATAGCCATCATAGGCATACCATTTCGAGGAGGCTGAATTTGAGAAGTAATTAGTGAACGATTGCCATGCATTGCGAGATTTGAAGCACCACCTGGGCCACTATTACTAAACGGATTTGATTGTAATTTGCCAGATTTAAATGCTGCTGTTGTTTGATCAATCTAAACATGAGATATTCATTTTATATATTTTCTGCAAATCTAATCCGTTTCGAACATTAACTCACTAATCGTTGAGCTACAAATAGAAAAGTATATCGATTAGCTACTAAATATTTACAAAATGGGAAGAAAGTATTTACCTTGTTCTTCCATCCATTTCTGATAATAATCTCGAACGTTTTCTTTGTGTTTTCGCCCTTGACAATGCGTTTTCCGAACAGATGGTGAGTCATGTGTAAGATATGTATCACAGTAATCACAATAATATTTTGGCATCTTTCAATATAAGAAAAATACATATAACTGATACTGTTAAATAATATATCTCCTTAACATTTATCAGAGTACTTAAACAGTGTTTTCAATGATTTTTGAGAACAAAGAAAAGATAAAGATAGTCATGATGATATACAAGACGGATGGATGAACGATCTCATCTGGATACTTATTCCCTTTAACTGTCAATCTTTATTGCCAAAGCTGTCAACGATCGTCCAGTCTTAAAAATAGTTTTGATTCATCAAATATTGAGTCATCCATTTTTCATAAATTTGGAGAAAATAAAATCTTTCAGATGTCGCTATTAAAAAACTGCTTTTTGTTAAATTTGCGCTTAAAATTTAACATTTATAAAGCAATTCACTGAATATTACCGGAAAAGTATTTTATCTCCTTGAAGAGGAGAAAAATTCGCCTTTTATTACTGTAATATTGTTATTTTGCACAGGTTGTTTTGTTCAAATTGATAGACCCTTCGCAGATCAGAAAATCAGATCAAGATCATACAAGATCATATAAAATCTTACGGAAAATTATAGAAACGGATTCCTCTTACAAAAATCATACAAGAATCTTACAAAATCTCCTACAAGATCTTATATCAAAAATCAGCTTCTATGTTTCTTACAGAATCTCACGAATTGTTATAACAATCTTACCAAATCAGACGAAATCGTACAAGAATCTTATAAGATCTTACAGTAACATTCTTTGACCTGGATTTTGTCAATTCTCCTACGTCAATTGACATCGGATTTTGACGCTTTCAGGCAAAAATAAGCAATAAAGCTTTCTCGACATCGCACTGATGAATATAACAGGCTAGGTTTTAGACCAATGAAAACGTCAAAGCGCACCCTTTTTTTTTAACACAAACATCATAAGGCTACTATATACATATATATATATATATATGTACTCAAAATAAGTCGCTAGCTTCGATGCAAGAGCTGCAGATATAGCTGTTCATGATCATTCCAGCTTGTCTAGATCAAAGACTCGTTCTTCGCGTGATTTTAAAGCTAAAACTATGACTAGTGAGATACACGGAACTATGGCAGAATTATGATTTTCTGGCTCAACTAAAGTTCTTGTATATTTTGAAAAGATTTGTCAACTTAATAACAGTCGAAGAGGTCACTTCGTGCAAATCGATACCAGCTCCATATGGTGTCTGATACACAGAAGTTATTCACATATACCTGAAAGAACAAAAGAAAAGAAGTGTTCAGTTCAATTTCATTCAAATATGAATATACCGAATATAAAATAATTTTGTAGTAAGATGTAAAGCACGAAAAGGCTATATGTAGAAAGTTATTGGTTAATAACTGGCCGCTTGAGAAGTAAGAGAAAGGTTTCTGTTCTGTCAAATAATCTACAACTACTCATTAAACATGGCAGTAATTCAAAAGGATTAGATGTCTAAAAATAAGTGTGGAGTAGGAAAAGAGTGGTAGCGAAAGATTTTATAAAACCGTAATTTTGATGTCAAATTAGCACAAAAAAAGTACTCGAACATCTTTACGATTTCGGTTGTTTCATAATATGAAAACTCGAAGTTTTAAAAGATTAGAGTGTAACTATTTTTTTGCGGAAAGAATTGATTGCTAAAATTGACGGAATAAACGAAGAGTCCTTGGACACTTTTTCTGATGAAATATCAAGTAGTTCTCGGAATCATCTTGACTCCCATTTCATTAATCGTCCATTGATGCGCAGTAGACTATCCAAGTTAAAAAAATAGCAATAGCGATTGTGCACCATGAAATCGTAGTTTTCTCTCCAATGGCCATGAGCTGTGACGGATCGATTAGCCGATCAACCAAAAAAGAACCTCATGAGGAGGCTCCTGTTTATCCTGATTATATTCCTATTTCTACAAACATTTACACAGATCTTACACAACTCAAGCCACTTTATCAGATGCAATTTTGTAGGATTTTTTTTTAGAGAAATAAAGGTCTTGACTAGCTTGCAGATCTTACTTTGTAAATGTCTAATGCTGTCACAGATGGATTAAATTTATCTGATCAATCATTTGGCAACATAAAACCGTTGCAACCATCATTGTTAAAAAAATGTAGAGGTAAGTTTTGTATAGTATTATTTGCTTCCTTTAATCTCGTTGGTTATTTTGTTTAGAACGTTATTTGAACGCTTATAGTAAAGTAACAAATGAAAATAAAAAACGAACAAATCGATGTATAAAAAAATTATATGAAATTGATTTGATTGATGGTAAAATATGGCAATGTATACAGAATTTACAACTACCACCAATAATTAATAATGATGAGAATCATTTATCATCTTATTTTACGAAAATTGATCATGTAAGCTGCGTATAAATTCTGTTCAATTGAGGATCGAATTGTACTTGAAGGATAAGAAATGCAATTAGAGATGAATTCTAATTGTTTGACACTTAGTTATTGAAAATTCATTTTTAAATTCAGTTATCGATAGAAAAGGATTAAATTATTCTTTGAAAAATAGATGGATACTTTTCTTTTAGTGATCATGAACAGCTGCGTGTGCTGGAAGAAACATTTTGTTGTCCAGAAAATAGAAGTCTTTTAAATACTGCAATCTAGCCAATGTAATGTTATCAGGTTTTTTCTGTCGAGAAAATTTCTATGAAATTATTCATATACTCTATGATTTCAAGGGGAGCCAGTTTCCACTAAACTTTCAGCGAACAACGGTGTCATAACCATATGTTATAACAGTCGGACTCAAACAGATATAATCCTGCAATAAACCGACAGTTCATTTGTTTTCTTGAGAAACTGAAATGTCGAACATGCTCTTTTCTCTTTCTTAGAAAATTCATCAGTGTGTAAACAAATGCAATGATAAAATTGCAACAACGTTGAATCAATTTAGTAAATCGCAACGGAAACTGAAGCGTTTAAAACCAAAAGTAATTATTGGTGAAATTTATTCAAGAACAACAAATGAACGGTATAATGAAGAAGTAAAAGAAATTAAACGTAAAGCAACCGATGAAAAACAACGACAAGATGAAGCATTAAGAAAACAACAACAATTGGAAGTAGAGAAAAAACGTCAACATGAAGAAGCAGAACGAGAGAATGAACAAAAATTAAAATATCAGCGGGAAGAAGAGATGCGACGGAAAATTGAAGAGCAACAAATTTTAGAAGAACAGCGAAAAAAAGAAGAATTTGAACGTGAACAACATTTACAGCGTGAACAGGAATTAAAACTGCAAAAAGAGAAAGAAGAAGCAATGAGGCAAAAAATTGAACAGCGTATTGAACAGAGACGTCGACATCAAGATCAACTGAAAAAACGACAGCAAGAAAATGAACAACGAGCGTTGGAACGTCAACAACAATTTGAACAACGAAAAGCAGCATTTGAGCAACAACAACGAGAAATCGAAGAGAAATTAAAACAAGAAAAGGAAGAAGAGCAAGAAAAAGAGAGACAACAGCGAGCAATTGAAATGTCTAAACAACTGAAACCAGAAATTAAACAATGTCATCATTCAATCCACTCATCACTACCATTAGTTGAGACAACGAATCATATGCAAGAAAGCAATCAAGTACCAATTTCTCCATTAAATTGTTCGCATATGAAACAACAGATATCCGCAAGACAAATTCAGCAATCATTTAATTCTGAACCTTTACCATTCGATCCGCGTGAGTTGTGTGGTTAAACAAACGTAATACAATGAAAAGGAAATCATAGCCATTTTTGTGTGCCATCTTCCTTTTCTTTGATGTATAAGTTTTTTGATTTCCCATTATTTAGTACCGTATACTCATGGCTGGGAAATATTCTGAGAATCTTTGACCGTTGTAACTACTATTCTCTACTATTCTTTTTCGTTTTTTTCAGTCGAAATAGGACAAAACAACGTTGTCATGTCGTTACCTGATAGTGAGTACTTGAGATGAAATCAATATAAAAATATTTATTAATTGTAGTTTCTTTAGTCTCTATAGTTGTGCCTGTGGATAATGATTTACCAGACGATGTAATGATTCCAATATTAAGAGGTAAATATTGGCAATATTATAATATTCAATCATTTAAAAACCGGAAGTATTTTGTGTAGAAAATGATTATCGATCCGATTTACCAGTCGATCTAATCAACGATAAATTTGATAAACAGGATGGTCCAATTGAAATCATTCCAGTTGAAGAAACACCGAAGACCGTCGTTTGTAAGTGTAACGTTTCTCATCTTGTTTTGCGTCTCGTGCTTCATTTTTAAAGTCAAAACAGTAAGAAGAGTGTCATTTTTCGATTGTAAAATGATTTGTTCGCCTTTTATTTTTTTAGCAAGTGATCAACAGATATTTAAATATGATATGTTCCCTGTTGAAGAAGAACAACGGCAAGAATTCTCACTACCAGTATTGCCTCAGGTAATATATTTTTCTTCACAACTACCTCTATTATTTTATCCACTAAATACATGCACGTTCTTCAAAAACTAAATAAAAAAAATGCTTTCTTCAAAAACTCAGTCTTTGTCAGCTACTGACAACTTATTGTTATATTTCAGACGGATGTCATTATTACTCCAACTCAACCACAAACACAAACTATTTCACCATCACCGGTCAATATTGTGTACGTATAAACATTCTCTTGATCAACATCACTTTATAGCACATTTGTTCTTCTAGAAGAAAATCACCGCCATCTGATGATCGATTATTCGATATCAATGATACAATTGTTCATCAACAAAAAATGGTTAATAAAACATTCGGAAATATAACTAATATGACTAATATTTCATTTGTAAGTTTCGGATTAAAGGATGTGATATGATAATTAAATTTAAACTGCTCTGTTATGTTTTTTTTCTAAAGAATATTGACGATCCCTTGCTGCTCTGTTCATCACCAATCGTCATTCGTAAGAAGCGTAAACTACATCCACCCATTCCTCCGTTGCCACCTCTGTTCAATCATAAACGACAGCATGAACAACCAATGATAAATACTCAACGATTTTTTGACAAAATACTTGTTAATAATAAAAAACAAACACGTGTTAATATATCAAAAGTACCAATTGTTGTCGCTAATATTCCACAGTCTCAACAACAACAAAGTGGAATTATTGATACATATGAATTTGTTGAAGAAAATAAGAAAAGTAAGAAATATCATTTTGTTTTTAGCGAATATTTTATACTGTCGAATGTTAGTATGAATTATAGATTGTTTCCAGTTTATGAGTTAAATGAATGTTTTATAGTTGGTGTATTACGGCTGATAACTAAATTAAAAATATTTAGCTGTTCGAAGGATATTTTCTCACACTTTGCAATCCTTCAAATCAGAATCGAATGAAATCTGATAGATAAATTATATACTTTTACATTTCATTTTAGGTATATGTCCATCGGAAATGCGGCTTCTTCACGATGATCCGTTGATCGCTCGTTTGGCAGCTTCAAAATCAAAAGGTCATTCTTCACATCACCACAGACATCATCACCATCATCGGACAACAACAAAAATAAAAACATCCCAAACACCGTTGCCATCACTTTTTTCACTTTCTCCCACAACGCAAGGTCCATCTGTTCACTCAACAAAAAATCATTCAACAAAAAAAAGCAAAAATAAACGTGATGAAAAACGTAAAATAAAATCAAAGAAGAAAAAAAATGTGTTAAGTATAGGAAATATCACTCTGCCGCCTACGTCACCGTTAGATCAACGATCAACTAAAATTAATTTATCAATTAGTTCAGATGGAATTGATGAAGAAGATGATGAAGACGAGTATTTACCACCAACAAAATCAAAATCTAGAACAAGAACAAAACCAAAAAAGAAAAAATGAATACGATCCTTATTTGTTTTGTTTTTCACCGTATTACGATAGAAAAGTGTCAGATAATCTTTATTTCTTTTTTTTCCTGATATTTTCAAGTTAATATTTTTTTTTTTGTTCAAGCCTGTCATTTTTCGCTTTGTTTTAGAAAAATTGGCCAAATATGTTTCTTTTTGCTGTTGTTGCTGCTGATATTCGTCTGTGTTTGTTATAGAACACATATCTACATTTTCTCTCGTTTGTTTTAGTGTCTTTCGTATGACAAAATGTATTATATGTAAATGATGAAATGTAATAGACTAAGTAGTTTTCGTTCACCTGTCTGTCTCTTTATTTTTTCACATGTTTTAAATGAAGCTGAATAAATAGTATGAAATGTATGTAAGATAGTTTGTTTCTACCAGCTATTGTTGTTTTCAAGTAGTCTTATGTATCAGTTCTTTGGTTTATCGAAAAACTCGTCTTGTCCACATGGTATAAATCTGATCTAATAATGACGTCATGCTTTCGTTAAGAAGTAGACGCTGTTGAAATTGTACTTCTCCCGGAACCTAAACACTAGATTCCTTGAGATCTGTGCGATCAGTTATACCCTCCTCTAAAAAACAGTTAGCAACATTTTAGATTTGAATTAGGGCGCTGTCTAATGGTCTTTCAGTTTTAAACTTTTCTCTTTTATTATTATCTCACTTGGTCTATGCAACCTCTTCATTATGTGATACTTCTGTCATGAGTTATGTAGAGAGATAGTCATATGAACAGGATAAAACTTGTGTTTCCCGGGGGTCGATATCGTCAATATTTAAGAAAAATCAGTTCCTATCATGAAGCGAATATGTTCGACTCTGATTCAATAAAAAAAAGTTTGAAAATAAAACGATATGTTCAGAATTTAACTAAAAACAATGGTTACATTCAATTGCCTAATTGTTTCTAGAAAAATAAAAATATAAATGAAATATTCATAAATCTGATGAACACTAACTTTATTTACGAAGTTAAAAAATGCGTTCAAGGAAAATGTTGTATACTTTCTTTTTTATGGACATTTCTTTGATTAATTACAGTCTTTCAACTTCTCTTGGTATACTTAGGTGTATAATCAAAAGCTCAATAAAACAAATGTTTATCTGAAATTTTGTGTACACTACTCAAATAACTGTACACCCAGTTGTGTCTTTGAAGATTAACTACAGGATATTTTCTTTCATTGAGTTACAAACGTATTTTGACCTAAATAGTTTCAATATGTTTTTGATCAAGAAAAAGTATTCGATGAAAAATAAATTTAAAAGTTATGAGAAACTGATCCTCATCGGTTAGAAAATGGTTACTAACTAAACAAGGTCATGGTTATTAATACATGTTAATCAAGAGCGATTTTCTCCAAAAATAATCATTATGAAACGAAAATAAATTAAAATATTCTGTTCTTCGTCCACATTGGCAGATAATTCGATAAGATAAGATAACTAAAAATAATTTTCAAAAAAAATTTTAATTATTTAATTAAAGCCATTAATACTAACGGTGGGCCATAAAGAATGAACCTCTTAGTATTTTGCTTATAACTTGGTTTGGATTTGTTTCCGAGACTCGATGCTTTTTTTAAAAGATGCACTGCATAATACTCTACAAAATCATACCTAAACTATAATTTCAGAACTTCAATCAAGAAAACTAAGCCAATTAGATGAAAGTCGAAAAAAATGTAAACTTTCTAAACTCAAAAATGATTTCTTGTGTTAACGTTTTGAAAGTAAGAAAAACTGATTTAGTCCTAGAGCCTAGACTTCGCTCTATCTCTTAGCTACAGTTCACATTTTTTCACATCAAAAGCCACAGCGAAAAACAGTTTTTCTATTGGTTGTTATGCATTTTTTCATTATTTTTTTAAATTTTGGGTATAGTAGTGCTTCCAGTAAAAGTCCCATAACTCCATCAAAATAAAAGCTTTTTCGGTCGAGTTTGTTTTGTTTTGATCAGAAATGATTGCTCTTTTCTATCTAACTTCAAAATCAAACTTCAATCATCTTTTACCTTTTTTGATTGAGCACATTGTTGGAAACGGGGAGGTTGTCAACTTTTGATGTATTTTTGTAACTTCGTTCTCGAGCACACTATCTGTTTTAAAAAGTTTTTTACAGACCACGAGAAAGAGGACAAAGTACCAAACATAAACTGAATTCTCACTTTTGCTACACTTTTTAGCGAAAATAGTACTCTCTAAAAAAAAAAAAGATATTTTAAAATACTGAAAATGGTATAACCATTTGAACCATATCATAACTGTTTAAACGTTTTTTACTTTTATCAGAAAACCCGTTTGCACATTTTTAGAATACAAAAAAGCCATGAATCAAAAAACCCTGAATTGCTTTGGTATTTTAAAGTACCTGAAAGGGTTTTTTGTGACATGAAGAAACCTCAACCGTTTTACAGAACATAATTTAGCCGTATTTTAGAAAACGAAAATTAGTTTTTTGAGAAGAATAAGAAACTTTTAAACAGTTATGGTATGATTCAAATGGTTATACCTTTTAAACGTTTTTCACGGGTGGTTATACCTTTTTTTGGCTTTTCTCAAATGGCAAATACTTTTTAGGATTTTTTGAAATACCTTTTTTTAGAGTGTAGCAGAAGAAAAAGTTTAAGTCGAAAAAAATTTTGAGTTTAGAAAGTTTACATTTTTTTCGACTTTCATCTAATTGGCTTAGTTTTCTTGATTGAAGTTCTGAAATTATAGTTTAGGTATGGTTTTGTAGAGTATTTCGCAGCGCATCTTTAAAAAAAGCATCGAGTCTCGGAAACAAATCCAAACCAAATTATAAACAAAATACTAAGAGGTTCATTCTTTATGGCTCACCCTTTAGTAAATATTATATTGATATATGTACAGTATTTAGATAAGAATACAAAGATCTTTTTGGAATATTCACCAACGAGTCAAATTGATTACTGTTGTTCTAAATCCACATGAAACTGTACGTCATCACATTTAATCACAAAAATGAGAAAAAACGCTTTATTTTGTTATTTTTTCACAGCATGTGTCTGCAAATATTTATCGATATCAATATAAAATTTATGACAAATTACGCATTACTTCCCTATATTTCTGTATGTAATAATTGTGTAAAATTCAGTACACAAATATTTGATTAACTAACAGGCAATCTCGAAAACAATAAATCTCTATTTTTAATATTTTCTATTTAATATTTACAGTCTCAGAATCAAGAAGTAGTAAAATAAACTTTAGAATACTCTCTATTATGGTATTAATACTGTTGAACGATATTATAAAAATAAGAGCAGAATAATAGAGTAAATAAGATTAATATTATTTGTTAAATAGGCATTATCGTTTAACAATTTTCTCATAAAATATATCGTTCAATTGAATTAGCTTTGGATATGTCATTAGATGATTCAGATATAACTGAACAAAAAGCTTCAATTAGAAGTAATAGTCAGTCTTCGGTTGTTCCATTAATTGATGTTATCGATGATGAAGATACAAAACTTTTATCATTAAGGAATGATTATTTAGAAAATGTTAATAATTCTAGTTTATCACCACAATCATTGACACAAACGCTCGATGGTCAAACCCTAATATCAATTCAAAATATTCACGAATGGTTTCCGTGGTCATATATGAATGTACTATTTGGTGGTGTATTACTAGGAGTAATCTCTATTCTATGTTCGTTTTGTGTCCATAAATATAAAAACAAAAATAATTATAAATGTGCAAAGCGTTGGTCAAACATAACATTAGTTTGGAATATCATAGTAACATTAGGATCTCTAATTATAGTGACTCTTTTCATCAAATTTTCGTAGCAAAAAAACTGTAAACTCATGCCAAGAAAAGTATCTGTTGGAATTTTAAGAATTTTTTAACTGATTTTGAGAGAATGTTCAACATTGAGAGCAACTGTTTTTTTCTTGTTTGTGTGTATATCATCCATGTTTCTATTAGCGAGCATAGATTCTCTTCTTATCGTTAAGGGTTTCTTCAATATTTACTGTTTTCTGTTCTGCCTTTAAACTATATGAAACAGTTAATGGTACAATGGTTTGTAATGTGTTCGAAAATAATATAGCTGGTGAAGAGAACCAACAGTTTGTTGTTGATAATGTTGAAGATTGGTTTTGATAAACATTTGTTGATTGTTGTTTTTTGTTTTAAATGCTTGATTGTATTTGATGTTGTTGTGTTTGTTCAACAAGTGTTTTCCAATATAACGTGATCACACTTTATTATGTAATACATTCGTGAAAATCGAACTGAAAAAGAATAAAGTTTCTACCATGAAAAATAGCCGAGATATTTAGGAAATTTCATTTTTTAAGCAACTTTCTCTAATATTCCTATTTGAACTTTCAATATTGAAAGAATTTGTCTATCCCTGATAGCTATGAATAAAACTGTCAACATGGATTATTAAATGAGGCTCAGCATTGACGCTTCTGACATAAAAATTCTCTCCTTTAGAAAAAGTTGCTTAAAAGATGAAATTTCCTAAATATCTCGGCTATTTTTCATGGTAGAAACTTTATTCTTTTTCAGTTCGATTCCTACGAACGTATTAAATAATAAAGCGTGATCACATTATTTAATTTACTCGTTGTCAATTCAAAATATGGATTAGATTACGACTAGAACATGGTCAAAATTATCTAGAATTTTAGTTTATCATAAAACTTCTCTGTTTTTAACAATTAAATGGCAGGTTCGCATATGTTAAAGATGACGGTATTATTAACAACTTTTACACTCATAGTAGTATTAAAATCGATTTTGGGAAGTCTCTACAGATTTTTCTTTGAAATCTCCATGAATTTCAACGGATTAACTCTTTTTACCCCAAAGACCAAAGTTTTAAAAATGACACGTTTTATTGTGGTCTAATTAGCTTAATGCAGGTAATAGATATGAAGATTAAAACCATATGGTTCAATAGAGGAAGAGTACAGAGTACAGAGCTTCACAAGGGTATAATTTTTAATTAATTAGCACCGATCGTTAATGAGCTGAGATTTCTTTTAAAGAATTTTAATGTATTTGAATGGATTGAATCTTTTTACCCCATCGGTATAAGTGAGCTGACTCTTTTTTACCTCGTGTGAAGTAAAAAGAGTCAATCACAACCACTCGACTCCCATTTGAATATATCTGGAAAACCAACATGAATTTTCAAGAAATTTTTGTACTCGGGTATAGATAATTATCGGCTGTACCCTCGTGGTGAATATTGAATTTTTTCAGTTAAAATTGTATCAGAAATAGTGAAATTAGGAAGAAAATTTCCTGAACTGACAGAGGCGGTGGAACTGGGGCGTCGCCCCCACAGATTTTGAAAATTTTCGTTTTCTTCCAGTAAACTTATTTTTCCTTTGCGTTCTTGTCCTTGAGCACCCATAGTTACCCCATAGTACTCTATCACTTTTATTAACTCTTATATAACACATGAAAGAAAACATGAACTGTGCTAATTAATTATACCTGGTATATATATTTTACTTGGCTTCATCACCTGGTAGTATGAGCTATATTTCTGCATGGTTAGTTTTTGAAAATAGAGAAAAAAAAACAAATGAAAATTTGATAATTATTTACTTAAAAAAAGTGATTTTGTGGTCACGGATTTTTCGTTCTGATTTCTTTCGATGCTGCGCGATATGCGTATACAAGAAGTAGGTCCTTGCTTGAAAACTAAAATAGAAGAAACAAACGACTTCAAAATAAAACAACAGGCAAGTGGAAAATCGATCTCTGTAAGCCGATGGCATTTACACCCTGACTTTTCCGTGCAAATTACACGGACTGACCATAATTAGATGCATGTAGATGACAGCATTATCCAGATGTGGATCTCCTAGAACAGTTTTGTAAATTCAATTCAAATTTCTTTGAGGTTACGCTTTCATTATGATTAGTAGTCAAAGCAACCCATAGAAAGTACTTATAACATTAATACGACTTACTCACACATTTGTGCATGAGTACTGAAAAGTCGTACTCACATATTCAATATTCTCACAATAGGTACGCATGTGAGTACTCCATGAGTGACAAGATGCATGAGTACTCGTGATATTTTTCAGCAGAGTACGACTTTGAGTATACAGGTTTGAGTACATTCACTAAGGAACGGATTTTGTTCGTATTGAAAACAAACATTTTAAACAATCGAGTCAAATTGATCAAAAAAGATGAATCGAACAAAAACAAAGCAGAAATGCTTCTGACTTTCATTTCCTCCCCACTGTGTCATTCTATATATGGTTTGGACGCTTGTAAAACTATGTGGGCGCACTTACGATTGTACTTCTACACTGTGAAAAAGCAAGTGCCCCTCGGCAGAGCTGAGCAAGTCAAGTCAAAAATGCCTCAAGTCAAGTCAAGTATGACTTGACTTGGTCCAAAAGTCTTTGGGGTATGATTTGACTTGAGAATTTTTTTTCAAGTCAAGTCAGTTCTAGTAAGAGATTTCGTTTAAATTAGACTTTTTCTACTATGAAAGAGAGTTTCTAAGGCTATAAAAACACTTTCACCCAAAGGGTGCTAGCAAATTTGATGTCCTGCCTAATTTTAACTAGACTTGACTTGACTTGGGAGAAAAAATTTCCGACCTCGACTTGAAATTTTTTTTAGTGCCTTGACTTGACATGCGACGTGCAAAACTCCCGACTTGCCCAGCTCTGCCCATCGGGCAATGAATGGGACACTTAAACTAGCCCACAGTAGGGCACTTTTCTCGATGGGACACATTTTTATGCTTGAACGTGCCCGAAGGAGTAAATGTTCCATTCATTGTCCATCAAAATGCCTTTTTTAGCTGGTGGAGCACTTGTTTTTTGACTGTAGAGTCAGCAGCACGCTTGTTTTTAGTGTGATAGATTCTTTTCATCACAAGCCTGTCATTCATACAACTTTTATATCCATTTATCTGTTCCAGCTGTCTCAGACACTGTTGTTCAAGAGGATTTGAAGCAAATGTGCTTTATACTTTTTTCTATTATGCAATGGTTAGTCTCTTCAAAATATTGTGTACTTTAAATGCAGAGTGAGGATGTGAAACGGTCCCTAGGGAACGTACTTGGGGCCAAGTACTTGGACTAAGTACTTCGTCTGCGTAATACTTGCCTTTTTTCCAGAAGTAAATTTACTTGTAAGTGCTTGTCCTTACTTGTCAAGTACTTTCAGAAAGTGCTTCTTAGCAATAAGGCAAGTATGTCGATCATTGACAAGTACATAGCAAGTAATCAAGTACTTGCATCAAATACGTTCTCTAGGGGTAGCATCAGCATTCGAATACCAGGAATAGTGACCTACGTTACTTAATATTGCCATAAAACTGAATATGATGTGAATCATCGAAAGTAATGGTTGTTGCAAGATGGCTATCCAGCACATTATTTTACGAATTAAATTGCGAATACTAGCAGATTCCAACTCATTGTTATGCAAACGATTGTATTCACATGTTTAAAAGAGATAATATCTAATGAGGATGAGCGAGCGAGCGACACCAGCGGAAACAACGGTATAACCCAGACCGATATTTTCCGAAGACAAGTTTCTGGAAGATCCAACGTCGGAACATGCCGGAATCCGACAAAATCCTATCCGAACCACGCCGTATTATGATGGAATCCTGGTGCCCGAATTCTGTGTCGGATGATGTCGGTAAAGATCCAATCGGACCCTTCGAGTTTCAGACATCGGATTTCGCTGGATTTTGCAGAATGTGACCGGTTTTGAGGTGTTTGAAGACTAAAAATAGCCTTAGATTTTTTATTTCCTATTCTTTTTCGTTCATTGTCTAATGGCTCCTGTCTCTGCGGATTCGAAAGCGTGTAAGAACCCACTAGCTATGTTGTGTACAACACGTCTGCTGATCAGTGTGAGCGATGACTCACACTGTTAAAAATTTGTAGAAAATGAAAATCAAGAAGATTTCCTTCTCAATGTCATATTTAAAGTACTGCTGTCGCGAAACAAAACCGTGAATATACATACTATGCACACAAAAAGAAAGTGCGCACCACAGGATCTGTCGATTTGCGGTGACAGGAAATTAACGGATTCGACTGGTTCCGGATATCAGATTTGATCTCCGGATCCTACAGGATTCAGATATTGGGAAGCGAAAGAATTGAGCGGATTCCGGTCTCCGGATCCGGTCGGCCGTCCGAACTCCGAAAATCACTGGAATTAAAACTGTTCTACAGGATCCGCTAGGACGAATTCGACTTGGAAACTTGATGGTTGCTGCAGAGCTACCATCTCTTTTTTATCATGCCATTTGCTTTACTTTTTTTGTTTTGACTTTTTAAATCTTATCACGTACGTACGTCTAGCAGTGAATTGTTCTTTAAATGTCATTTGGTTTTCGTTGTGAATAAAAACTCGTGATTTCTTGTAATTTTTTACTTTGTTGAATTTGAGAGTCTGAAATTGGGACTGTTCTTCTCGACAAAAAACAATTGCAGAATAGTGACGTAACTAATCTCAACCGGTGAGCAGAATTCCAGCGAGTTTCGACAACTAAATCCGACAGGAATTGCTTGTTGGAATCCCATTGGACTATAGATTATCTCACTGAATTCGTCATCGGATTCCCGTAAGGTTGGATCAGGGTTCTAGAATGCTGCGAACTTTAGAAAAGATCAAGTTATCTGAATAAACTTAAATTAATATCAATTTCTTATTACTAGACTACGATCAACCATAACATAATTCAACTTCGCCCTGTTGTGTACTGCATTATTTTCTCTACATCTTCAAGTTTGATAAATTGTGTTCGGAATTCTACATTAAATCATGAATGATAATATCACGTTTAAGAGTCCCAGTCCCTATTTAAAAGCAAACTTTCTATCGAGATTTTTTCACAGGTACGTTCCGCATATTCTTGAATCGAATGACCAGTATATCATTTATGCTTTAATTTTAATTTTAGCTGGTTGGGTACATTGTTGAAAAAAAGCAAGAAGCAGCCATTAGAAGTCTTTGATTTATACGATGTGTTACCGATGTTAGATTGTGTGGAGTTGACAAATAAACTAGAACAGTAAAATAAGAGAAAAATGTGTTTTGATCACCAAAAATGTTAGTTTTGATCATCAAATTTTATTCTGTTCAAATAATCGTCAAAAATAACACATTTGATAATCAAATTATTTAACGAATAAATTACAAGAAAAAATAAACAGAAGAAGAATTTATGTAAAAGAATCAGAAAGCTCATAAGAAATTTAATTAATTAATGAAAGATGATTACAGAAAATAACGTTTATAAACTTTATGGCAACAAAGCTGTCCGAACTTTTTTCGGACAACCTTTAGCTTGTCTTTTACCTGCAGGTTCAGAACGCGTTTTGTCAGTAAATGAAATCATCTTTCGTTAATCAATTAAATTTCTTGTGAATTTCCTTTTGATTCAGTTATTCTTCTGTTTATTTTTTCTTGTTTATTCATTAAATAATTTGGTGATTATTTCAATAGGATAAAATTTGATGATCAAAACTAACATTTTTGGTGATCAAAAAATACATAGCCGTAAAATAAAAGTTGACTGACAATATTTTTTATTATTAAGAAATTGGTTTGATGAAGTTCAAAAAGCAAAAGAACAAAAGCGTCAGCCAAGTTTATGGCGTGCAACAGTGAAACTAATGGGATTTAGACCATTATTGATTGGTTTATGGTTTATACCATATGTAAGCACATTGATAAATAGTTAAATATAATTGTAGAATTCTGGCTCTCCTATTGACTTTGTTTTAAATTTTATCAAATATGCTTTCATGTATAATTAGAACTTCTCCCCGTCAGAAATGATGCTTCAAGGTAAAAAAAAAATCGATTTTGAGATAGGTACATGGAAAGATAGCCTAAAGTGTCTACTTTCAGAATCTGTATCGCTTTCGGTCGTAGAAGTTTTTCGTGACTTTTGAGCAAGTTTTCTAGCAGTCTCGAAAAACAGAATCTCCAAATAACAGGTTTTTCCTGGATACTTATGCAATTAAATTTTTTCCTCAGCTCATAGATTTGTAGAGTAACCTTTTCTGATCAAAATAAGATCTCGTACAGTTCTGTATGACCTTGCGTCAAAAAGTTACAAGCATTTTCCTACAAGTCCTAAAATGGACTAACGGATAGACAGTGTTTTCCCTAAGAACACACGCTTTGTGCAGGCATGCTAAATGTACGGGCGGGGGGTTGTCTACAAAACGAACAAAGGCTTAATTGAAAAATCACGTCGGTCGGCTCATGTAGTTAGATGTCTAGTTTAAAATAAAAGAAACCCGAACTCTCTAGCTTGAAGTATATTAAAAGATTTTGGGAAAAACATCAGACTATCTTTAGACCTTGATCTCTGGAAAACTCCTGAATAGTAAGACTTGGAGAGAAAAAAAAATTTCATTCCCGTAACTCATTGTGTCTAACATTTATGGAAAGTTTCATCACAACCGAATGTACAGTGTCGGAGATAATTTCTGAGGGAGGCGGCGGTCCTTATTCTTTTTAGAAATTACTAAGAACAATCAATCCGTTATTATTAGCATTTTTACTACCATATTTTTTACCGTGTACAACAATGTCAGCATTAACAGCCTGGCTGTTAGCTACTGGTATAGTTTTTTGTTCAGCAAGCAGTTCAGTTCTTTATCATTCATTTTTTTACCGTATGCAACAATGTTCTATGCAACTCAGAATAGCTTATACTGGAATTATTTACAAAAAAGTAAGTTCTGATTATTATTCGATTATTCGAAGTCTATTTTCTGATTTCTGTTTAGCTTTTACGTTTATCGAGTCAATCAATGAATAAAACAAGTACAGGCCAAATTACAAATCTTTTATCGAACGATGCTAATCTGATTGAAACAGCTCTGCTATTTATGAATTTCTTATGGGTATGTTATTTACCTTGTAGCAATTTAGTACAGCTAGCTTTTTTCCTGTTTCTTAAAGATGTCTCCATTAGGAATTGTTTTTGTGGTGATTACTTTATGGTATTTTGTTCGTTATATTGCATTTATTCCAGTTGGTTACACATTAGCTTTGCTTTGTTGGCAGTTTGTTGCTGGACGATTATTTGTAAAAATTCGGTATGTGAATTAGGTATTCAGTTAACTGGAACTGCTTAGAACTGGAATTATCAGGAGCTGTTGGAAAAAAATTTTGAAATGAATTCAAAAGAAATTTTAAAGTCTATTGAAAAAAATGTAGCTTCATAATCGACTACGTATAGTCCATAAGTTCCAGCTTGAAAAAGCGTTCCAATTAAAAGACTTTTGAATCTTAACCTGTATTTTCTTCAATAGAATTTAAAATTTCTTTCGAATTCATTTCGAAACAGGTCCTGATAGTTCCCGTTCTAAGCAGTTCCAGTTAACTGAAACTGATGCATATCTATTGTGAATCATCGTTGTTCTGATTTTACTAAATAATTTTTCTCTTTCTTCTAGATCAAAAATACTTCAGACCATAGATGAACGTCTTAAAGTAATGTCGGAAATAATCAGATCGATGAGAATTGTAAAAATGTACTGTTGGGAAGCGTCTTTTGAGCACAAAATTAAAGATGTACGAAAGTATGTCTTCAATACTCACATCTAAGTAATATATTGTTATTTATTTACTTGTTTCTCTATTAGACGAGAAATCATTCGATATTCTTATCGTTTAATATTAGATTGTGTGCAAACACTGTTTATTCATACATATGTTGATATGGCGTTTTTATTAATGTATGGTACAATGTGGTATTTAAACATGGCATTCGATACAAAATATTTCGCAGTTGCTTATTGTCTATTGGCTTATTTGAAATGGTCTGTGGCAGAGGTTTTTAGTTATGCAGTTAGAAATCTTGTAGAATATTTATCAGCTAGAAAACGAATTGAAGTAAGATCATGGATGGATAATACAGTTTTTTCAAATTTGTTTGCTGCTAACTTATGATGGAACGAGCCTTCTTCTATATCTCTTATATTAAATTTAATTTATATTTTAGACATTCTTATTACTTTCCGAATCAGAACGAGATGTTCGTATTCGGTCTCTATCATCCGTTCAAACTGTTTTATTCGATAACTCTTATATGCTTGCCAGTGATTGTAAAAAACAATCAGAATCGTCTAGTATATACTGTGATCTAAAAGTAGCTAAGTGGGAAACGGTAAATAACCTTTCAATAGTTCGAACATCCTCATTAATATTCTTTGCTCTTTTCAGGATGTCCCATTTACTTTAAAAAATATTGAAATCAATGCTCAATCAGGCGATATAATAGCTGTCATCGGTCCTGTGGGTTCTGGGAAGGTGAATATTTACTAGAGATGTTTGTATTGCTATAAGGAAATAAAAATCTATACTTAGAGAAGATTCTAAATGACTAATAAAAGTCAGACGGTTTTAGAAGTACATTCTCATTTAGCAGAGTATCAACGTAGTTAATAATAAATGATTCTTCTTGTAAGTTGTAGTAAGATGCTCAAAACCTTATGGTCGTATTTTTCATGTTCTTTCTTCCATTTTAATAACGAACAACTTTCTATTGTTTCTTCATTGGAGAGTTCACTATTGCAAACTTTATCTGGTGAAATTTCGTATTTTGATGGAAAACTTCGTTTAAACGGACGTTGTTGCTATGTACCACAAGAATCATGTAAGAAAAGTACTGCTAACAAAAAAAAAAAAACATTTGTATAATAAATATTGTCGCTTGTATTTGTAGGGATATTTTCATCTTCATTAAAGCAAAATATTTTATTTGGAAAAGAATATAATTCGGTGTTATTCAAAAAAGTTATACACGCATCAGCATTGGACAAAGTATGCGAACGTTATAATTTTGAAAAATTATTGTTGCTTTTATCTCTTTTAAAGGACTTTTGTTACTTACCACATAGAGAATACACGATTGTGGGAGATCAAGGTAATAAAACATCCATCTTACGAGGGAACCTCCTGAGGTGATAAAAACCTTTTTGAATAGGACTATTTTTAAAATGTAGGCTTTTATGGGCTATGAAGAACCTCAACTTGGTTCGGGCGCAATCAGTTTTGTTGATAGATATCGAATTTTTATTTGAATTTTTTCGAATATTTCGAATTTTGGAACCTGGATTTCAAGCAAAATCGAAGTTTTGAATTTCATCTTGAAACTTATTACATATTGTAGCTCAGACCATGTGCAGTTCGATGAGAAAAGGTCGAGCTGAAAAGCTCTTTCCGCCGGGATGAAAGAATTTTTTCAAAACTTGCTCCATGTTTTACCTTTGGTACCCATATGGAAAAAGTTCTTTTACCGCAGCGGAAAGAGGTTTTCAGCTCGGCTCTTTTTCATCGGACTACAAATGGTCTAGGCTACAATATGTGATAAGTTTCAAGATAAAATTCAAAACTTTGATTTTGCTTGAAATCCAGGTCCCATAGGGAAAATTCGAGTAAAAAATCGATATCTAGCAACACAGCTGATTGCGCCCGAACCAAGTCGGAGTTCTTCATAGCCCATGAAAGCCTACATTTTAAAAATAGTCCTATTCAAAAAGGTTTTTAGCATCTCAGGAGGTTCCCTCGTTACAGGAATCTAATGTTATGAAGACTGTTTTTATTTGTAGGCGTCATGCTGAGTGGAGGGTGAGAAAGAACTATGAATGATGTTATTTAGAATTAATTTATTATTTACTTTTAAATAAATGTAAGGCAGAAAGCTCGTGTTAATATGGCTCGTGCATTATATCAAGACGCCGATATTTATTTATTAGATGATCCACTCTCAGCTGTTGATGTGAAAGTTGGAAAGCATTTGTTTGAAGAGTAAGGCAAGAAATTTTATCTGTTCTTAGTAGAATACCCTCTTTTTATATTATCTCTATTTAGATGCATTAAAGGTTATTTGAAATGTAAAGTTTGTATACTAGTTACTCATCAAATTCAATATTTAAAAGATGCAACAAAAATTATTGTTTTGAATAATGTATGGATTTTATTGTTTAATTGACGTTAATTTCGTATCCTTATTATTTTGTTTATATTTCTGAAAGGGTGAAGCTGTTGCTCAAGGTACATATGAAGAATTATTGAAATCATCTATTTCATTCGCTAAATTACTCGAAGATATCCATCAACATGAAATTAATACACCCGATGGAGACGAGAAAAACAAGCTCAATTTATCAATAGATGATTTAGACAAAAGAGTATGCTGGGTTATCTAAATGATTCTTTTTATCATCTTTCAGCAAAAACCACGTGTATCAAGCGCTATAAAAATTCATACAAGTGATAATTTCCTTGTTCATTTTTGTTTTCAGACTGAAAATGATCTTCTATTACGTACTCAAAGCAGTAGAACGTCTAGAGATGAGACACAAAATAATCATCAACCTACTGAAACAAAAGCAACTGGTGTTGTTAAATGGCATGTGTTTTTGGATTATTTTCGAGCAAGTGCAAGTTTAATTTTAGTATTTTTGCTTATGTTTATTGTCTTTACGTCTCAACAAGCCATTGCTGTTTTTTCAAATTGGTGGTTAGTTAAATGGTAGATCCAAAATTAAAAGTTCCCTGTTCCGTATGTAATTCTTACTTCATTTATTTATAGGTCCAATGAAGAACAATTACGTCATGAACATCCAAATGGCACTTGTGGTTCAAAATTTAAATCACAAATTCACTCAATGTCTAATAATGAATGGGAACTATATCGAAATAAAAAATTTTATATCTATAGTGGTAGATTGAATATATAACTATTTTAAATTCATACGACATTTTTGTTTGCTTCTGTTCAAGGTACTGTTGCCGTTTTATTTATAATAACATTGATTCGTGTGATATCAACAGAATTTCTGTGCATTAATGCTGCAAGAATATTGCATAACCGGTAATTTATTCTTTATTTTATTTAGCTAATAAACTTAATGTATTTGATATAATTTTAGAATGTTTCAAAGAATAATACATTGTCCAATTGTCTTCTTTGATAATAATCCCATTGGTAAGTATTTTGCCTTTTTGAGAATCTGAACATGTTATTGGATTGATGTAACTCGCAATCTTGAGCTCAACACATTATGAAGTGAATATTGACCAGAATTGAAAAGGTCCCCAAGTATGCAATCGCTTTTTGCTTGAACTCTAGTGGACAATAGGTAATCGACTGCGCTAAATCCGAATCTGACATCGGTTTCTGCTGCTAGACCTCCAGAGGCCGGATTTCTGGAAAACCAGGTTTTCAGAAACTTAAAAAAATAACTGAAACCCTTCTTAATGAGGCATAATTGTAGATCGCAAATTTCTGATTAAAATGACATATCGTCCAGCTCCACACGAACTTTCTTTGCAAAGTTATAGAATTTACACGAAAAGTCCTGAATGTTCATTGTCAGCTGAAAGCTACAGGAATAAGAAATTAATTTAGGACTTTTCTTATAAATTCTATAACTTTACAAAGAAAGGTCGTGTAGAGCTGGGAGGTATCTCATTTTAATTAGAAATTTGCGATCTATAATTATGCCTCATTAAAAAAGGTTTTGGTTATTTTTTTAAGTTTCTGAAAACCTGGTTTTCCAGAAATCCGGCCTCTGGAGGTCTAGCAGCAGAAACCGATGTCAGATTCGGATTTAGCGCAGTCGATTACCTGTTGTCCACTAGAGTTCAAGCAAAAAGCGATTCACTTGGGTGCCTTTCCTCGTTAGTCAGATGGAGCACACCGAATTACTTATTTAAATTTTCATACTCTGAAAATTTGAATTATTATTTTTTCCAAGGAAAAACAAGAATGATGTCCGGCTCGGTTGTTGATTATCTTTCAAAACGATAGAATAGCTTATTCTGTGAAGAATACATTTCTGTGCGAGCACAGAAAAAATTTACATGTATATTAAAGAGGTGAAAAATCAAATTTGAACGATAGATTAATTGGTAACTTTTGTGTGAATAAATTCACCTCTTACAGTTTTGTTGACTCTTTTGAATAATGCACATGTGCTCTCACTGGATTCCCTCACTTTTTACATGAGCAAGAACTCAACAAGAACTCACTCATGCTCATGGTGCAACGCATTCAAAGTTTTATTTTTTAGCAGTTCAAATAATGCGAAAGTGATCATCCAGTTTTGATTACTCTATTTTTCTGTCGTTATCCGAGAGATAACATGAAACATGAAATAACATGAAAAGACTGCATGTTTAACCCTTTCGGGACGGGCTTATTTTGAGAAAAAATTAAACGTACAAATTTTCTAACTTTTCGAAAATGATTTATTTTTGTCGAGTTCGTTCACATCTGAACATCAGAAAGCTTTCAAAGTATGATATTCTTTGAAACAGTTGGGATTACAGAGTGGAATATCACAATCTGGGCAATAAAACCTTGTATCGCTGCGTTTTTTCTCTCGCTTGACTGTATGACTGCAGACGAAACAGCGTTTTTTCTCTCGCTTGACTGTATGACTGCAGACGAAACAGCGTTTTTGAACATTATTTCCTGGAATAAAAGCGATGAAATGGCGAGCAGTGAGGCGCAGTGGACAATCGGTTCATGGTCTTTCTCTCGACTGTAGTCGCTTTGAGCCGTATTCTTCAATGAGTTCTCGAGCAAGTTGAAGACGAAACTATGAAAGTTCGAGATTTTTCTCGTTGTTCATCTTGAACATGGCATAAGAGTTTTGCACAGTGATATCAAATAAATGGAAAAACAATTTCTTGTACCATTTTACTGTTTTCCGTAGACATTCCGAGAAACTGTTTTGCATGTCTACTTGATCCACTGCTCTCATATTTTTGTTGTATTGTACAATACAGAGAGATTTCTTGATTTGTCGACCTGTTTCTCTGTCGTTCTTCTCAGTTTCCACCATGACAGGTTCATGCACCGTGGTAAGCATGTGCATCTCTCTTTTGTCTATCCATTTGAGTGCTAACAGTTCATCAGTAGTCTGATAGGTTTGTTGCCCTTTTGCAAGTTTTTCAAACGATGGCATTCCACTTCTATTTTTTCTCACTGTTCCACAAAAGCAGTGGAATGCCTTACCTACTACTATCACTACAATTTCAGCTTTAAGAAAATTCCGTTCTGCCATAAACGATTATTTTTTTCCCTACTATAAATGGCCGAGATTCAAAAAGATTGAAAGAAAAT